CTTCCATGCCAGTCGGCCTTACTCGACATCAGTAACCGGTCTGCTAGCCACACACGACACGGCCCAAAGAAAGGTGCGCCGGATCCACTGCCGACCAATCGAAAGCATCCAGCTTCTTGCTTCTCGTTTAGTAAAATCATGATGGTGCTCGTTACTAGCAACGCCATCGATTTAGCGATCTTTCAGTGTTCGCCGGATACGAAACATAGAAAGCACTTGTCACTTCCAACGCTGAACCAACACTGAACCGCCCCTTATGTAGGTCCAGTAAACTTCGACCGTCTGATTCCCTTTCTACTAACCACCAGTGACACGACTTCAGCTACATTTGATGTATTCCAGAAGTCTGAGGAATCTGGATCGGACCATCTTTTTTAAGCACTTGATCAGACTTGAGCTAATGCCCGCTAAGTACTAATGAATACTGGTCCAATCATGAAAGTATCGCTACCAGGCCAGAGGGTAGTAACAGAAATTCGACGCGCTAGGCGGGTGATAGGTTCTTGGCAAGTACAAACACAGGAGAACTGGTACATAGAATACTCAAATATCTAAAAACTGTGATTGTTCTATGTATGCGTCGTATTATTTTGTCGATATAATATTAAAGCGTGGTATTCTTCCAAAATTGGTCGTTCACTATCGTATCAGCACTCCTGTGATCCTCCCTTGTTCTACGGGCTGGAGGACCGAAAAAAAAGCCCGACGGTAGTTGATACCAGGCGACTTGGAAAGTTGAAATAACCTTGCGCACCCCGATCTACACCACCTTGACGGAACTTTATGATGACCGTCTCCGCTATCGGCCTTCCCACCTTGGTCCTGGTCAATCCAGTCGATCCAGTCGAGACATCACACTCTAAATCCTCATACTCATCGCTTCGCGATCATCTGAATACAAACGAGCCCATTCCATTGCAAGACGCCAGACGTACGCTGGAGAAAGTCACAGTTTGTTAGCAGTGATGATAAACAGATCGACGTAAGATCAGTCACTTACCCTCCTGGTCCAATGTTCTCCCGATAGTTCTTTTCCACTGTTTACCTGCTCTCGCGATCCTCCTCAATCGCGCATCTCCATCTGGGGCTCCAGGGATCGCTTGGCCAGGTTGGAACAGGGGTGCACCGGTTGCGGGGTCGGTGTGGTTGCCTAAATGTGTTTGAGCATCAGTGAGTAGTGGTACTTGCAGGACTGACAAGGTTAGACACTTACCAAAGACCTCCTCAACAGTTTCCGCCGGTATACCAGAGAAATATGCATAAATGTTATAGATCTCTTCATATGACGCAGAAAGCGGGATGTAGTGCAGCCTATGAGCACGATAGTTAGAGTTAAGGTTAAGTACCTCATGATCTTCCTGTTTCTTTGCAAGATGAACTCACCAAGGCTCAATCCAATCTCCAAAAAACTCTTCATACATCGTGCTTTTCACTGGTACACTATCCGATGCCAGGAAGGACATAAATCTCCCACTATACGACATTCCGTCAATATCCAGTAGGTACTTGTACTGCCAATGACCACCAAGGTAAACGCCGCCGCTAAAGCGATGCTCCGCCATAAGTTTCTCCAATCCGCCAGGATACTGCTCGGCGTTCGTCGTTTTGACGAAAGCGACGTCCATGATGGCTCGGTTGAGAGAGGCCAGAGGGATGGAGATGTGGGTCAAGGGTGGGTCAGTGATGATAGTGGGGTCTTGCGCTGAAAAATTCGAAAGTCCAGTAGATGTACTATAAGTCGCAGCAGGTAACCACAACTCGACGTTACCATCCACATCCCAACCTGTCATTCTAACAGCCCGATGTCGCTGATAGAGCGCGGCGAAGCCCGGCGGCTCATTGCCTCCACCAGTCGTAGCTCCACGCCAGAAGACCTTATTCCGTTTACTCTCCCGCCCTGTGATTTTGTCCACCGGTGGGTTCGCGGTATTCACGTGGCCATCGAAGGCGGGATCAATCACTGCAAGTACAAGATGGTGTCAATCGGGAGAGACATTAATCACTTGGAAATCATACTCACCTAGATTCCTATCATCCACACCTTCGCCTCTCGCTCCGCTGATCTCATCACCCCACGCCACTTCGCCACGGTCTGTTTCTTGTAATTCGAGATTGACCTCGTCCCAGCCGTAAGTGTATCGATCGGTAGAACCGTAGTAGTAGTGCGAGGGAATCTGTACAGGATAGTGCGGTTAGTTGGGTAATATAATGATAATGGCGTCAATTTACCTTGATGTCGGCGAAACCATCTGCTCTGGCAGGACTCAACACAGGATACAACTCTCCAATTGTACGCCAATCTGAGAAAAAGTGCCCTTGGGTGTAGTGTAGATGTGGCTCGTCACAGAACGAGGTGGTGTAGAATGAGTTTGAAGGTGTGAATGCGAACGTTGGGGGTATTTTACCATCTAGGGAAGTTGACTGGCGTAGTAAAAGATAAAAGAAGGAAACTTACTCTGCGCTTTGGTCATCCCCGGGCCCGTCATATCAATCATGGCACTTCGAATACTCGAAAACATTTTTCGGGCCGTCGAGTTTGGTGGACATGTTCTCCTCCAGGAATCCCAGACGTTACCCTCACCACGCCAGTCGGGACGGAAGGAGGCGAGTGGGTGTGCATCATTTTCGTTGGCGGTAGCTGCAACACAGAATTAGTTACATAGATATAAGAAGACTTTAGTTTAGTTAACTCACATGGGGTATAATTTCCTTTCTCCTGCCATTTTTCCCAACCGATGACCACTCGACCCTCTGCCTTTGCGTTAACAGGAAAGTCCATATCTGGAATCCCAGCTCCGAATTTCCTTCCGTCTCCGCCATATCGTTTCTTTTCTTCTTCAGTGGCTTTCCAACCCTCGATCGTCTTTCCCAACATACTTTTCAATCCCCGAGCTCGAGCACTAACCTCATCATCTACGAAACCATCATTGTTGATGGAAAGAGTTGAGAGGACACCGGAGCGGACACGGACAAGGTCAATGGAAGAGACAGAAGCGACTTCAGCTATACGTCGCCGCATTTCCGCTCCTCCGCCAAGTGCCCATCCATATTTATCTAATCCAGTGCCTTCGGGGTCATGGGTATAATCACCGAGTTCTTTACGTCCTCGTAGCTCGTAAAACGGCTTAAGGTCTTTCATGAGCAAGTCGTATTCGTCGACCATTACACAGTCGTATTTTCTAGTGTACTCCCACCATTTGTCGAAGCCTTTTGGTGGAGGCATCCCATACCGCCTAGTGTACTCGGCCATAGCTTCAGGCAAAGTCTGACTTTGCTTTGAGACTTTGGCTCGGAAGCGCTCTTCGGCTGCAGCCATGAGCTGGGTTATTGGATGAGTGGAGAAGGAAAGCCGTGAGGGATGAGTATCAAGACTGGACCGGAGTTTTTTAGGAGTTGGTAGCGAGGAAGAAGACCCCGCAAGTATCCCGGCGCGAAATATTCCAAAGGTCAATAACGCGAGCAATGTCCACAAGAGAAGTGGCTTCCAGCGTCGCAATGAAAAACGATTAAGTTGCATGGTCCATGGAGAGGCGGATGGCATGCGTCGGTGATTTGGCAACACCATAGCCTTGAGTGTTTTAAACAAAGACTAAAAAGAAAGGAGCGTCGTTGCTGGCGTTGAGGTAACTTAGAACTGTGTTTCACGTACAGACTCACGTACGCCGAATCTTATCTTATCTGATCATATGACTTCACGGTCACGTGATTGTTAGTCCTTCAAATGCAATGTGACATAATTGTGCATTGACGAGGTCTGATTGTGAGTCCTGGTCCCTGGAAAGTGGTGAACAAGGATGGGGACACAGGTTATAGAGGTTTAGAGGATTGTTCGTTGAAAGCTGCTTGTAATCCTATCGCTGGGGCTGAATTCTTTCTTTCTATTCTCGTGGACATTTGAGAGCCAAGATGGTTATGTTTGAGTAGGTACTGTGTGAGGCCTTGAGAATCGCTCCAGTAACTTGGTCTATACTAGTCTGTCCGTCGTCCGATGACTCCGACCGATTAGTTACTTAGTTGTATCATGAAACGGAATAACTATAGCTAGTTTCGCATGTAATATACTCTTGTAAGCTGGCCTCATGTCTATCTTCCTCTTCTATCCTCTCGAGTCTGTCCGATCAGCTTGAATCTCCTTGATGTATATGTACTTACTATTTACTAGGCTTTTAACTGACATTCTCCATCACGAGAACCCTCTCGTCTTCCGCGAGCTCAATCGTTGTCTACATTACACTACAAGCGATTGCATATTGCATCGCCACTACGAACAAACCAGTAAGCGCATTGCTCACTCGATCAAGCCCGTCTTTCAGCCTGAACTTCGCCTTGACCGCCAGATGAGATTGGCTCTTTCACCTGTGCCTCCTTGTCGGTGGCAGTACTTGCTGCTTAGGTACTTGCTTCCAGAGTAGTAGACCGTCTGCATCACCACTGTTCACCTTCTAAGCAGATGTTTAGTATCACGCCTACTACGCAAGAAGCGGGCACGGGAGGGAGCACAACCACCAACGCGACGAAAGGACACAGAAAGGCGATACAGATACAGACTCGGACTGAAAGACGCGCTCTAAGGTATATTCACTCTTCTAGCTGCTTCTGTTCGTGTTTAAACAAATCCAACTCTGAGGACGTTCACGCCCGAAAGTGGAAAGTGGACAGATGCTTTCAAAGCCGTCAGGAAAACATTGTGCATACACTTGTTAATCGGGTTAAAACGACAAGGTTTTCCAGTTCATTCCTGATGCTTCATCTCCTTTGTACTTCGCCTACGCATTGCAGCTCTGACTCGATCGTCCATGCATCTGCTAACAAAGCAACGGAACGCGTTGGTGGAACTTTCAACTATTCGAGCTAGTCACCTCTAAGCAGATCATTCCAATGACTCACGATGCGAAGGAGTACACCTTAATATGGCATCCGAGCTCAGTGGAAGAAGCAGTAAGGTGAGAGAACTAATGTTTGAACATTATATTAATTATAAGTCAAAAAAAGTTCGACATGGTCCAATAGTGTAGAGGTTATCACACGGGATTCTGAGCTGAACTAGCTCTACTTTCCCGTGACCCAGGTTCGAGTCCTGGTTGGACCTTGGGGCCTTAACGTTTACCGAGCTCACTTTGTTGAGCCTTCGTAAGTTTTTTCTTTTCTTTCCTTTGTGTAAGCGATCGACGTCTGCGACTTGTTGGCAACTGTAGAATTTCGATGATCTATAGTTGTTGTATCTTCTACTTGTTCGTTGTATTGCAGCTCACAAGCCTTCTGAAAACCCCGCATCGACTTCCATTGCCATGCTCGCTGTCTGCGACGCGCTTCGTGGATTTTGAGACCAAGACAAAATGATATACTACCGCTCAAGCTCTGGGTGCAAATAAAAAGCATTTGCCAAGACATTGATTATACGTGAAGAGCTTGAAAGAGCAGGGGATCGGGGGATGGAGGGCTGTAGGGTAGGTCGTAAAACGTTTGATTTGACTGGATACTAACATCGAGATGTTGATGAGTCGAGTTAACCTGATAGTTTTCGGGCATAAGTAGACGTAGAAGTCACGAGGGAACTTTTTATGTGATGAATCGATTTGACCTATGGGCTTGTAGTTTAGGACGAGTTGATATCATTGAGTACAGTGATTGCGGAAAATCTGCTGCTGTTTCTGTGGATCTGAAGCAGCTGTTGAAGTGTGGCGCAACTGTACAGGGAGGAACAGGCGTCTAGGACCACGTGGGATCGATCATTGCTCGACAGTTTAAATTTAAGTACCTTGCTTAGAGTAGTCGTGCGGTGAAACCCACAGCTGTTCTTATTCAACCACAGCCAACTTAATCTGGCTTTTCTTTGAACTTTTATTCTTGTTCAAGAATCTATCGATCTCTCTACGGGCTGAAAAAAAAAGTTCTCCTCGGCCTTAGCATTCCTCACTGCTCATCGCTCAGCCTCAGCAGAGAATATTCTTTCGTGTCAGTACGCGTACTCTGCTTTTTTTTCTTTTCTTGTTACTCATTTGTCTGCGCAATTCCAGTTATTTACCTCGAAATGAGCGCTGTTGCCCAACCTCAGCTCGAAGCGCGCTTGTCTGCACGCCGTGTGCAACAACAACAACAACACTCTAGCATATCAGCTATCCGTCGCAAGCCGAGATCCACATATATTTCACCTTCAGCATCTGAAGTACGTGGGCCGTTGCATCTATTGACAACGTCCTCCACGGCTACACAACATGGTCCCCGTAGTTCGTCCTCTTTACCAAAATCATTTGCTATTCCCTCCTCGAAATCATTTTCCTCATCATCCAAACACACTATGGGGCCTCCACTTCCACTATATCATCCTTTTGGCAAACTGGCCATGTCTCTGCCTCCCCTTGATCCCACTACTTTTGGTTTGCCTGTACCCATTACCATCGATGACGATAGCAGCCGTTCCTCGAGTCATTCAAAACGATCAGGCGTCAAACTTCGCGACGCTGCAGTCGAAACCGATCCAATTCCGCCTACTGTTGCTTCTGGAGTCAGCGCTATGGCCGCCATTGCCGCCCGTGAGATCAAGGACAAGGCTAGTCCTCGTAAAAAACGGGCCGGTGGCGGCGGAAAACGCAAGAGGAACCCGGCGGATGATGGCGACGCCACATATCCTGCTAAAAGAACTCGTCAGCCACGAGGTGCAGTCAATGGCAATGACGAGGAGCCAGAGTCTCCAGATGCGTCCGCCAATGTGGTCGGAGATGTATCCTCAGCTCCTGGGACACCTGTCACTGAGATTGACAAGCCAGAGAGAAGAACGACGCGTTCGAGAGGCGGCATGACTAGAAGAGATTCCACTGCCAGCGAAACTCCTTCTATCTCCGCTGCAAGCGTGAAGACCGCAAAGGAGCCGGTACTGGATGACAAACCTCGTGAGATTGTTGTTGAGAAAAGGCGAAGTACAAGCAAGGAGGAGGGTGAGGTTAGCGAGGAAAGCAAGTCTGCATGAATCATTTGTTCTGTTGCCGTTCCACATATTTCAATCTCGATTTCTTGCATATTACATGTCTCTTGTATCACCACACCACTAGTAAGTATTCCCTGTCTCCGTTCATTTTCTAGTCATAGGTTCTTTTTATTTCTTATTCCGCTTATTTGGCATTACTTTATGGAACTATGTATTTACTTGATGATGATTCAATAACAAAGTGAGCGCCGGAACAAGCGCCGCCTCTCTGTCACCTCCTGCTACTAACCTCTGACAACTCTGCCGGCCGGAGATCTAATGGCTTCACAAGCGAGAAATCAACTAGTACGCAACAATTCCAACCGTAGATATACCTGTGCTGATTCACGTCCAGTGGACCTCCGGACGAGATGAGATTGTGGAGGTCAACCAGAGAGCTCTGATCGACAAAGTCCTTGCTCGTTATTCTGGAGAATTCACGGTTTTTCGAGAGTTGCTCCAGAATTCAGATGATGCACAAAGCAAAGAAGTAGAGATACGTTTTGAAAGTAAGGGTTTTTTGGAAAACAAGCCAGAGGAAGGGAGCTCCGCGCCAACAAAGCTTCCCAATCTCAAGACAGCGCTGGTTTGTTCTTGTCATTTTGTGAGACGAAGATAATAATTGTATGTGCAGGTACATCAATGGACATTCAAGAACGACGGTGAATGGCTTGGTGTTCGCCAAATCAACTAAATCTAATGTCGTACCAGGTATTGCATTTAGAGAAGAGGACTGGAATAGGCTTAAGAAGATAGCGTACGTGGTAAATTGTTCTGCTGCCACCCGAGTACCGATGCCCTTCACAGAGAAGGAAATCCGGACGAAGAGAAGATTGGTGGTCAGCTCCGCCCATTTAACAATGTGGATAGTCACTCAAATTAGTCTACAGCATTTGGCGTCGGTTTCTACAGTTTGTTTTCTGTTGCCGAGGAACCTTTCGTCACTTCGGGAGGTGAATGGATGGGATTTCATTGGAAGCGAGATCAGGTATGCTCATATGCTTATTTCCATCCGATGGATGTCTGTTAATGGCTTCGTCAGCTATTAGCTCGCAGAGGCAAGCTTCCCGAAACCGCTGAACCCTCAAAATGGACTTCCTTCGAAATGACACTCAGAGAAGACACCCCTATTCCCGTCGCCTTTGATTTCGCTCGATTCCTGGCATCATCCATCACTTTCATGACCCATCTCTCTACAGTATCTGTTTATTTCGACGAGAAGAGACTCGTCAAGCTTACGAAGTCCGCTGGAATTCCAAAAGAGCTAGGAGTTCCGAAAACGTTGCAGGCCCTGAATAAATCGAAAATGATGGTTCTGAACAAGTTACAGTCAACTTGTGAGTAGCTTACCATATTTTTTTTCGGTTATGCTCATGGTACTGCAGCCCTCCATATCCAAGCAGACCTGATGCGATGGGTCTACACCTCAGGTACTGAGAAGCCGCCCGCTCCCTCTGCTGTTAAGCCTATCAAGCCCCCTATTCCCGGCGGCTTCCTCTCCTCGCTTTTTGCTGGATTAACCAGCACTTCCACTCCTCAACGTCCTTTAACGCCTGCTGAAGTTCCGAACCCTGTCGATCCTTTGAAGACAGATATGACTAGTGTCTCATTGACGATATTTTCTGCTGAGGCCGATGTGAAGCTAGATCAGAAACTTGCTGCCGAATTACACAGGTCCACAAAGAAGAGCGTCCCTAAGAAGATCAAATACGAGTTGATATATGTGAGTCGACTGTTTATCTACCTATATAAGGCGACTTGACGAATTTGCTTTCAGACGGGAATGGATGAATACAATGCTAGTAAGACTGAAGATGAACAGCAAAAGTTTGCGACTTCTGGTGGTATTTTCCAAGGCTTACGTGCTGACCTTGAAGGGCAAGTGTTGTGCAATCCTCAAGGTTACTTTGACTGATTGTTGTTACCCAATAGAATGGGCTCTGCTCGAATTTTCATTGTATGCCGTGTTATTATGACAGGTAGAACCCAGTTCACAAGCTATTCTAGGGCCATGCAACAGGACAGACTACTGGGATAGGAGGACATATGGTACGTGTATACATTCTCAAAAAGACTATCTCTGAACACCGTCGAAAAGAGTGCCAGATTCCTTCCCACTGTGGAAAGGGAGAGTCTTGACTTGATGTGAGTATCCTTGAATCTTTCAAGGTCTTCATATAATGATAATGATCATAGGGATCGAAATGTGGCCAGTACGTACCTTCCATCTATCCTCATCTTCGAGTGCTGAATCCAACAATTTAGTCTGGAATAAGGAGTTGCTCAATATTGGAGGGACCGTGGCTCGTGCTGTTTATGAAATCGAAGTGGACAACCTCAAACAATTGTCTGATGCCGCTGCTTCGAAAGACCCGGAGCTACAGAGTTGGTTAACGAATCGTGCTATCCACCTCCTAAAATTCTTTACATTTCACCAATCCACGCCATCGGCAGATGTTTCCAGTCTAATGGAGCAAGCGTTCTTCTCATGCTCTACAGGATTTCGCATCATTTCGACCAATGGAATACAGGACGTTGCTGATATTCGTCTACCAGACCCACAGTTCTCCTCGTTCTTGAAGGACCTTCCTGTGTTACCAGAGCAAGTATTGTCCGCCGCCCGACCCATGGTTACGGCCCTTCAGAACCGCAAGTTGATCAAGGAGATCATGTTCAGTGACGTACTGAAGGAGTTGGATAAACGACCATTAGCGGAGGACGAGTCTATTGCATGCTTGACTTGGTGGATCAGCCTAAACAAGGATGCAGCCAGCGCCGAACGTCTACAATCTATACAAAGTAAACTTATAGGTTCTGCGGTGTTAATGATTGGAGTTCCGGGTGGCAAGGACACAAAATGTATCCCTCTTTCCACCATTTCCACCATCTTCAACCCTCGGAATATTCCTCCGGATGTTCCATTTCCACCAACGATGCTCCCTCCCTCCATCAGCAAGGCTTTCAAGCCAGATCAGCTGACACTTGCATTCCACTGGTCTGAGCTGACCATAGTTGATTGGATCAAATATATCTCTACCTTCGAGCCTCCCAGTCCTGAGCTCGATCTTTCCATCTCGGCTCATTGGGCTGAGCGAGTTCTTGGTATACTAGTCCGAGCTTGGCCT